GGGGCTACAGATGCATTTCCAGTGAGTTGTGGGCATTCTGGACCTTAATTATCCGGATAAATCACACTCCCCATGAATGACTCGATTAATTAAGACACAGCATGTTGTTAAAAAAAAAATCCTTAATTGATTCTTAAACTTAGATTCTGGCTTCAGAGTGTCTGCAAACCCTCTGAAACTGAAGCAAATTACTTTGTGTGTAAACGTTTGTGAGAGGAGGGAATGTAACTTCTTAAATTTCGAAGGGGGTCTGTAATTAAATAAGAGGTTACTCATTTACATGTATGCATGTAATTAAATAAGAACTACTCATTTCCTTAATTGGCACATGAAAATATGTTCTAACCGTATGTGGCTTTTGCAACGTGCAATGATGGCTAACCAAGCTTCTTGGGGTGTGGTTGACTATTTCTGCTAAATAGTCTCCAAGTTGGTTACTTATGGCTTTTGATGATGAGATCCTCTGTCAACAATTTTTTTTAATTTTAAAAATTGAAAACTTAGGTGTTTGCAGATGTCCAAACTGACTGAAAGGTACACTTTAAAGATGTGCACCTTCGTATGTCAATTACAACCTCAATAAAACTTTTTTTTTTTAAGAAATCAATAGAGGAAACAGAAATTACGATTGAGAATGGATCAGATAACTAAAAATAGGGCTTTATTGATTTAAATTACACAGTCAGGACCAGGAGCTTTGGGAAAAAAATCAACTTGGGTGTTGAAGCAGCAGTAGAAATATTTCAACAATAAAATGTAAAAATAACTTTCATCCAGCAAAGGATATCAATGTTTGATAAATGAAAATCTCACTCTATTTATATTCAAGGAAACACTAAGTCTGAACTTCTGACTTCGTTCTCCAACAGTCAGGTTTCCAGAGTCTGAAATGGGGAGGGTTTATAACTTTGGGCTCCTGGCATGTGCCACGATTGGCCCCAAATATTCAGAGTTTGAGTGAACTCAGCTTCTCTTCTTTGGTCTGGAGGGAGGGAGCAGAGGGAATTACTCCAACATTCTCCTTTTTCTATAACAAGGGTTTTCAAACTTGGCTCTGTACAAGAATCAACTGGGGAGCTTTCAAAAGCCTTGATGCTCAGGCCACACCCGGACCAATTAAATCGGAATTTCTGCGGGGAGGTCCCAGGCATCAGCCTTTTATAAAATGTCCTCGGTGACTCCAATGTGGAGCCAATGTTGAGGCCCACGTCTGTAGCACAATGTTAACTATTATTTTAAGATCAAATTTATACTAGGCTCTTACTTTGCTTCAGAATGTTTTAAAGACTGCCAAAGTGTGTTTGTATGTATCTGCACAATTCGGATCAGTCACAGACACCCATCTGCAGGCAGACCGTGGAGACACTGTGGGTTTGGTTCCAGACCACTGAAACAAAGTGAATATCACAATAAAGCAAGCCACATAATTTTTTGGTTTCCCAGTGCATATAAAAATTACGCTTACACTATATTGTAGTCTATTAAGGGTATAATAGCATTACGTCTAAAAAAAAAAAACCCAACGTACATACCTTAATTTCAAAAATGCTACCCATCACCTGAGCCTTCAGGGAGTTGTAATCGCTTTTTCAATAGTAACATCAAAGACCACTGATCTGTGATCATCATCACAAATATAATAATAATGAAAAAGTTTGAAGTATCGTAACAGCTACCAAAACGTGACACACACAGACACAAAATAAGCAAATGATGTTGGAAAAATGGCACCCATAGACTTGCTTGACGCAGGGTTGCCACAGACCTTCATTTGTAAAAAACACAGTATCTACAAAGTCAGTAATGAAAAGCACCATAAAACGAGGTATGCCTGTCTATCTCCTTTTATTAGTGTGGAGTTATTAAAAATGAAAGGGGTTAAATGCACTTGAATCTGGGGACAGAAAAACACATTCACGGTGAAACTGATGAAATCTGAGTAAAGTCTGTAGTTCAGTTACTAACACAGCACCCATGTTAACGTCCTAGTTTTGATAATTATTAACATGGTTGGTAGGAATATTAACACTAGGGGTATGTGAGGGGTATGTGACAGCTCTCTGTGCCATCTTTGCAACTTTTCTGTAGATCTAACTATTTCAAAATAAAACGTTTTTAAAATTAAATTAAAAAAGAGAAGGTGGAGCCAGTATTAATCCTGACAAACTGATTAACTAACAATAGAAAAAAAAATATCCTTGCGGTCTTGGACACTATTAATGAATATGACTTAGGGGTGAGGACAGGCTCGGAGAATCTTCCAATTTCCTGCGTACATTCTGCTTTGTATTTCTCTTCTCCAGGCCCATCCAGATCCCACAAAATGTCATCAACAGCAATTCATACTGAAAGAGTCGTTGATCACATACGGCCTCAGAGTCTCATATTCTGCTATTAGGGATCGTAACACGGCTGCCGACACCTGTGCAGCATTTTACAGCTTACAGCACCTTCTAAGTTAGTCTTGTTTGATTTGCATTAGGAAACAGGCAAATACATGGGGTATACCATGAGTTGCAATAAAGGATGAAAATTAGATTGCATTTTATTATAAATGATGCAGCGCGTAGCACCTGCAGAAATCACACACACACACACACCATGACACAATGCACACGCACAATTTGAAAACACAGCTATTAAATCACAGTTATTAAATGATCAGCGTGAGGGCTGCGGGATCACAAGGTAAGGCTGGCGGTTACTGATACACGATCATTGCCCTGGACCAAGCCTCCCCAGCAGGCACCGTGCTGTGGTGACAGCTTTCATTCAGCCCTTTCCCACCAGGAAAAGGAGAAAAGTTCAGATGACCAAAGAGGTCACCAGCCAACGCCTTTGGCCCCAGGTGTTGTCAGTCCATGACGGACTCTGCCCTGAGTCACAGCCACCCCCTGCCCCCACTTGCTTCTGTCTCCTCGTCCTGGTTGCTGGGAGGCCTGGTTCCTGATTTCCTCGGGGCCCCGGACACTCATTGTTTCCTAGTGAGTCACACCCACCTGCCACCTCTTCGCCGGGAACCATCTGCCAGGTGTAGGACTTTTGCACTGATCTTGCTGGCTGCCTGCCACTCCCACAATCACCGGAGGAACCTGCCCACCCAGACTTGGGTGAAGAGGATGGCGGCGGCCGCTCTTCCTCTGGACCACGCCAGAAGATGGCTCATATCCTCTTCCCACTGTCCCCCACAGGGCTCTCCAGCTGCTAGCTCCACCAGTCCAGGGAGAGGGACCCTTTCCTCCAGCCTGGCCACGTACACATGCTTCTCAAGCCAGACCAGAGAACCAGGAGCACCCAGACCTGGAGCTGACAGCCTCCCTTTGACGGGACAGGTGAACAATGCTGTGCGGTTTTGCTGCTTGGCTCTCTTCTGGGAGGAGAGCGACTTTCTCCCTGACACTCACTGCCTTCTGGCTGGTGCTGTCAGGGCTGTGGTCTGAAACCTTCAGCAGGTGACTTCCTCCTTGGCCCAGGACAACCAGCTCATTCTGACTCCTGTTCATTCAAAAGGGAAGTGTAATCGGGACTCAGCTTGAGTTCAGTGCATCTTTTATAAGAATAAACATACTTGGGAGATGTGAATAATGCGATATGATTCATTGAAACTCTCGTTTCCTCCTAATTAGTGAAAAATGTATGAGTAGCAATGGAGGGGGTTTACAGGGATTCTCAGGAGAAAGGGTAGAAAACATCTGCATCTGTGAAAGGAGTTGTTCTTGATGTATATTTGTCCTAGAGCATTTTTTAATGACTCTGCTGGCTCCTTCCCACCACGGCCCTCCAGCTCACAGCCCTGCTCACTTGATCCCATTTGCTGGCAAAACGCTCTTTCTAGAAGCGACCACTCCAGCCTCCCCCCTGGCTCAGTGCCCTATGGGCCCATGGCCGGGGGCTGGCCTGTTACTCCAGGCTTTCTTGAGGCAGGGTGGCTCTCCTCCCAGTGTGGTTCCCTGATCACACCACCACCCAAAAGGTCACTAATTTAGAGGGTGCTCATCTGCCCAGTTTGCCCAAGACAGTCCTGATTCACATCGCCTTCACATACAGGGTCCCGACTTAGACACTAAACCCTAGGGCCACGCTGTCTGCAGCTCCTGGAGGCTCCTCACGCAGACACATCTGATCATTTCTCCTACTGACCAATGTGGATGCCTCTGGTCCTTGCTTCTGAGCTCGTCCTGCCTCGATGGTACCATCTGATTGATGGAGCATAAGCTCCCTGTGCCATCTTGTCCAGCCACTAACCTAACCCTGACTCATGAGAATTTTAGAAAGCCATCTCTGTAATTCTAAAGACTTGGAGGAGTGTGTGTGCGACCAAGTGTATGTGTATACACAGAGGAAAGAAAATTGTGAAACATTTGCTTAGAACAGCTAATTTTTATCTAGGAATCTGTGCAGGTGTTCACTGTACTCTTTTGCTAACAGTGTATTAAGAAGGAAATTGAAACTTCAGTAAAGATATTCCTGACTTGTGTTACAAACACGGTATAGAGCCAAGCAGAAAGCCAAGGTACTTCTCATCAGGTGAGTGATCGGAATTTTCGATTTTTTATATTCTACTTCAGCGTCGACAGTGAAACTGCACAGACACCTTACATTTTAAATTTATCATCAAATTCACTTCCTGCTATTGTTATTCTAACACTGGAGAGAAATGTTTCACTTCCAGAAGTTTTCATTTAACTTTAATAGAAAACAAAACCCATACAAATCCACTTCTTTAAAAAAATAAACATTTGGTTCTGAACACAAGCCGGCTTGATTATAAGAACTAGTTTACCTAATAATTTCATAATATTAGCATCACCCTAATTATATCCTTTGGCCGTTCCAGGCATGATCACAAGGCCTTTGAAATTCAGATGATGAACTGGGACTGACCCTGAACCACAAGACCCAGGCGGCCTGCAGCTGCCTTCACTGCTGACAGTTGAGACAGTGCGATTTCGGGTTCTGCATTTTCCCTTCAGGTTCTGTGAGCGCGTGGGGGCACTTACGTCTCATCTGTGAAGGCTATTCCAAAGTATTCCTTCTCCTTCAGATTGAAATGAGATGCCACGAGGTCAAGCAGCTCCTTGGCCAAAAGCTTGGGCTAGAGGGAGAACAAAGCGGAAAAAGAGTAAGCGATGAGAGTTTACTTTTCCTAACACATGCAATCTCAGGTTTACACAATGTCTCAAAGCTCAAGAACATCCATACAAATGACTTTCATAAAACCCAAAGGAGTAGACAATGAGGACAGGGCCACCAGTGGATTGAGACCTTCTGCCCTGTTTCCTGGTAGTTTGTCCTGTCAGCAGATGGCACTTGCTCAGTGACATGGCTGACAAACCCCACAGCCCTCCTTCCCCACACAGAACATTTATATTGAACAGACAGGCAGATGCCTTATTTAACAAATATATAAATATATACACACACATGTATGTAATAAATGTATTATTATGACATGTATCAAATATATGTTGTATAACACATTTATGTTATATAATACTATAATTATGTTACTATAATTGACTTATTGTAGAACATGATAATAAATATATATATATTTAACATACACTTATATAGTATTAGCTATGTGCCAGGCCCTGTTTCAAGCAATTTACAAACATCACCTTCTTTAACTTTCATCACAGCCCTATTAGGTGGTTCTATTATTAACCCCATTGTACGGGGAGGAATCAGGAGCCCAAAGATAAAGTGTTGTTTAAGTATTGGGGCTGGGATGTGAATCCTGGCTCCAGAGACTGCCCTAGACCACTCTATATGCTCCCATAATTTAAAATGCAAGCAATAAAAGTACCTTCCTGCAAGAAATGCTAAAATCAGGCCAAAGGGTCTTGGAAATAGTATTTAAAAAATAAACTGAAAATTTGCCTTTCCAAAGGAGAACAGTTTTCCTAAGAATGTTTTTTTATCAAGAACTCTTTCCTAAACATCTCTGCCCATCTAAAGGAGGGTGCCAGAGCTTTAGGCATGAAATCACTGCAGCTGTCTGCATGGTTAATATATCAGTCACTCTGGTCTGTCACTGCTGAGATGACTGCAGACCTCCAGGCTCAGAGGCTGGGGAGGAGGGAAAGGCTGAGGATAGAGATATGGGGCTAAAAGGGAACAGTTATTTCTTCATTGCCTCCCGGGCGAGGTATGTGCAGACGCACGGACTTTACGACAACCACTCTGTTCCAGGTGTACTCGCTGGATGTCTCCAAGCTCAGAGCAAAAACAGATGAGAGAAGAGACAATGTGTGTGTGTGTATATGTGTGTGCATTTATGCACATTAATATACAATTCCTGGGGTGGGGAGGGATAAATTGGGCGTTCAAGGTTTGCGGATACTGACTGGTATACTAAAATAGATAAGTAAGTTTATAATGTATGGCACAGGGAATTATATTCAATATCTTGTAGTCACTTATGGTGAAAAAGAACATGAAAACGAATATATGTATGTTCATGTATGACTTAAGCACTGTGCTGTACATCAGAAATTGAC